ATATATATATATATATATATATATATATGTATATATATATATATATATATATATATATATATATATATATATATATATATATATATATATATATATATATATATATATATATATATATATATATATATATATATATATATATATATATATATATATATATATATATATATATATATATATATATATATATATATATATATATATATATATATATATATATATATATATATATATATATATATATATATATATATATATATATATATATATATATATATATATATATATATATAGGTTTAGATTGTGTTAATGAATTTAGGTTATATTTGTGTGCTCAGAATTTACTCACCTCACACTTCAGCTATTATCAGGTACACCTGAACACCAAAAAATAAAATCTACAGTTAGTGACATAAACAATTAGTTCTCATTAGTAAATGTTAGCACTGCATTAACACCAGTGAGAAATATACAATATGTACTGTGTTAGTGTTAGTTTAAAAGAATACAACTGAATTGTATTATAAGCCTCATTTAATAAAACAGTTAAGACTTGTTTCATAATGAGTTTAGTTTATTTAACTAACTTAACGTTGACGTTACAGTGAACAAAATTAACGTACATGATGGTGACTAACGTAACCGTAACGTTAACTTAAGTGAAGGTCAGAGCTTACCTTAACTTTAGTCATTTCACCTTTACTTCAGTCTTGTACTGAAACAGAAAATGCAGTTAACAAGAAGTTAATTAAAGAAAATTTCCTTTTTTTCAGGAACTAACGTTAACGTTATGCTAATAACAAGTTACCTCAGAAAACACTACAATCACCATCTGGCGTCGTTAATTTCTTGTTTTAAAAAAAGGCGCGCTTAAACCCTGTACGTGCGAGTACAACTAAAGTACTCGGTAAATTCCTGTTAAATGACATGCCCTATACAGAAATACACATACAACAATCATTTAACGGACAAAAGTCATATTTAAACACTTACCGAGGATGAATCAGGGATGAATCCGTTGGGTGAAGAGACGACGCAGGCGTTGTCGTGATGGCGCTTGTTTGCTTTCGAGTCGAGTCAGTTCTGTTCAATGAATCGGCTCTTTTAAGTGAACAGTAAAGAGTCGAATTCGGCTCCTTTAAGTGAACAGTAAAGAGTCGAATTCGCCTGAAAACGATTCCGTTTTGTATAATATTGTAAGACGCAAACATATAATTCATTAATATTTCATCATATTGCTTGGTTCGTGTACTGCTTGTACACGAATTGCTTGTTGATGACTATGAGCTCATGAACACGTCTGATAAAATATCTGAATCTGATTCAATGTCACACGAGTCCTGAACCGAAGCAGTGCAAAAGTAATATATTGATTGAAATATAAAGGTAATTATTTTCTTCGCCATTCAAAATATTACATATCTCTGACTTCAACAATAAGAATAAAGTTCGTTTGGAGTGTATTGAGAATTATTATTTTTTCCTCCCAGGATTAATTTCGCACCAAGCTGCATCAAGCTGTAATGGTGGATGAGAAGGCACATAATATTATAAATAGTGCTTGTAATATGTAATGAAATAAAGTTTTAACACTTTTTCATGCGCGAATGTAGTTCTTCAAAACTCAAATCTGTGGATTGTTAGTAAAGATTGTGTGTAATTTTAAGTGTGTTTTGCCGGTAGCGGAGATCTATGACCTCCAGGCGGTAACGGCGCTCTTTACTCATGTATCCGCCGAGAAGCGCCTGTCTTCAGGCTAGACATTGGGACAATTGCCCCGTCTTCGATGGCTCTATATGCGTCCGAAAATGAAGTTTTAACTGTTTTTCATGCTAGAATGTAGTTGTTTAAAACTCTAATCTGTGGTTTATTTATATAGATAAAAAAAATAATAATTTATATATATATTTAATTCTGAGATTAGTGACCTCCAGGCGATGACAGGTGCCCAATACTCATGAAACCGTCTAAAGCAGACATTTACCCTGACATTGAAATAATTGTTGGCTGTTTAACAGTCTTTGGTTTCATTAATTAATTACTTTTTATTCCAGTTTATTATGTTTTGGCTAAGCACACAGTTGTTCAATAAATATTCTTTCCTATTCTATGTTAAATGTATAAAATTAAATAAAGGTGCAGTACAACCAAAAAGATGTTGGTAACCAAATCGTTTTGGGGGTTAAAAACATTCTGTTATTATCTGTTAAAAGTTCATTTGTATTAATTTCTACGTTGAGTTAAAAAAAGGTTTGAATTTCTATAAGTAACGTGCAAAAGATATAGCCCTTTTCACAGTAATTGGCTGTAATCATGCTACCTGCCGTTATTTCACAATAAAATTATGAATACAACATATTACTGTGAATTTTTCAGTTAAATACTGTGAAGGAATACTAATGTAATTTACTGTGAAAAATTACAGTAACTTGTTGTGAAAACCTGGAAATTTTTTACAGTGTATGGTAAAAAATACTTTTCCAGCTGTTTGGACAGATCTGTGTGTTGGTATAGTGTATAGACCGTCATACTGGGGTGATATGAACACACCGTCCTTTTTAAAAAAAATTTAACTACAAAAAAAAGGGTCGACCAATTGGAGCTGTTTTTAAACCGACCGCACCATTACGTAGGTGTGCGATTATTTTATTTAATTTTTTTAATTAAATTATTTATATCTTTTTTTCCCGCCCACCGAATTGATTGACAGCTGCGTGTATTAACATATCCTGAGTTTGTCGTTTCCGCCATTATCTGCATGTTAGTCGAAGCGATGCCACCGAGAGAACACCCTTGTGCTATTTTTGGATGTAAGGCTTCGAGAGCCTTCACCGTCTTCCTGCAAATGAGCAACAGAGGCTTAAGTGGCTGAGTTTTATCTTTGAAGACAAGGTGCCTGAAAATGTACCAAAACTGTTGTATGTTTGCGCTAACCACTTTAGCGTAGACTGCCTTGAGAACGCGGGAAAATACAACTCCGGATTCGCGAGTAAATTGTTTCTGAAAACTGGATCAGTTCCTACAATACGTGATCCTGCCTCACTTCAAGTATTACATTTTCTGTACTTCTAGCCTAAGCATTCTAATAATGTTAAGCCAAAATGAATAGCATCTGTATAGTAATAATAGTAGCTTCGGATGTTTGTTTGCACGTGTTTACTGCTGTTGTGCTTTTCTAAAACAGTGTGTACATACTCGAAGCTAAGTGGTAATGTGTACAAGAAGGGCTTTTAGCCATCAGAAGCAGAAATCGTAGAAAAAATTAAACATTGTAATAAAGCAGGAACCAGTACTGGCTACAGCTAAAGTTTTTATTTTTTTTTTTACAAAGGCCACGACGTCGACACAGAGCAACAAGATGGATGTTGCTTGCCAGACGGAACCATTTAACAAATCTTTACACAGTGTTGGTACACAGTTGTCGTTTAGGACGCTTCAGGCTAAACGCAGGAGTACAAGTAAGTTAACATTTCTCAGTTTATTTTAAGTTGCTGCATTAGAAACGTGTTTTACTATCTTTATAAACATGAAATGAGATTAATCATAAAATTACACTAGAGGTGTCCAGGCAACAGTGTCCAGTTTTGAACTGACTGTATCATCAGCGTCCTCTACTGCGTTTATAACTTCGACACCCGTCAAACCTTCACTAAAAAGACCTCGTCTGGAGCTGGAGGAGGAGGAAGAAGAAGAAGAAGCCGAAGAGACTCTATCAGAGTCAAAAATTATAGACCAAGACTCGGATGTGAGATTTGACCCTGCAGAGGAATGCACATCTGCAACTGATCCAACAGACTTGTCGTGAGTTTATGCATTATGTAAATTATTTGCAAGGTTGTGTATTGTCATCATAACATTCATCGTCTTTTTTTTTACTTATGTATATGTTTATATTTATTTTTACAGAATCCAAGAATGGCCAGTTCATAACATAGCCAAGTTCATTGTCTATGAAACGTGCTTCATGGAGCTCTTCAGTGACTGCCCAGTGTGTCACAGGAGATGTGATGTACAGTCACAAAGGCTTGGGACATTTCTGAGCGTACAGCAAGTCTGCCCACACTGCGAGTTTGTAAGAAAATGGAACAGTCAGCCGATTATTGGTAGTACTCCAGCTGGCAACCTGCATCTTTCTGCTGCAGTCTACTTGAGCGGTGCATCATTTTTTGTAGTTGAAAAGGTAATTATCAAAATTGATCACATTACTTTTAGAAACACAATATTAATTTTGTCACAGGGTGCATGCACATTGTACAAAAATTCTCCTCTCTGTTGTCAGGTATTTGCTGCAATGAAACTACACATTTTTAAATATGATTCATTTCGCCGACATGCAAGACTTTGCATTGAACCTGCTATTGTCCACAATGGAGAAATTGGCAGAGTGAAATGCTAGAACAGCTCAGTTGAAGAGAGAATGTGATTGTTGGAGGAGATATGAGGGCTGACTCCCCAGGTATTTAGACAAAAGATTTAATTTCTAATTAAATAGTCTAATAAAAAAATAAATATGAAATACATTACAATTATTCCAAAAATGTGTTTAAATAATTATGTACGGTTTGTTCTTGAAGGTCACTCTGCCAAGTATGGGAGTTATACAATGATGGACCTTGCAACTAACACAGTGGTCGAGTTAGTCCAGGTAATACAGAAAAGTGTTATGTGAACTAGCATAATATTTTGGATGGAAAATGTGTGATTTTTGTATTTTTTTTTTTAACTTTTATTTTTATTTTTATAGAGTAACGAGGGGGCGGCAGTTACCATATGGAAAAAGAAGGCCTAAAGAGAAGCCTTGACCTATTGGATGCCTGCGGTGTTCGTCTGGAATGCATCATCACAGACTGACATCCTCAAATACAGAAATATCTCAGAATATCGAGAAAGGTATGTAATTTAGCAGTTATTCATTTACTTAAGATCAAATTGCTATTTACAGTTCTTACATGTTTATTATTATTTTTGTTGATGTCTTTTTTTTTCTTTAATTTCCAGTATTTAACAAAAAAACTGGACAAGATATGCCAGATAAAGGGGTGTGAGAAGTTGCTTAAATGGTTACGTAGCATCAAAAACCACATCTACTGGACTGCGGCATCATCCACAACAGGTCCTGAAAGAGTGGCAAAGGGGACCTCTATCTTGAACCATGTACAAGACAAGCATGTACATGAAGACCCCAATTTTCCGGCTTATCTGCATCCGCAACGGATAAGCAGAGACGAGAACAAATGGCTGTCGGCTGGTAAGTTGTATACAGACAAATAAAATATTTTTCTTGATAAAAGTAATGTAAAACAGAGCTTGTTTCTTTGTTCAGATTTGTTTTCGATTCAGACTCTACTTAAATACATTTTTACTTGTTTAGCAACGATGCCATTCTACAAGCTGGAGAAAGTTCTCGCTAACAAGAGAATATTGAAGGATGTGGCCAAGCTAAGTCCTCACCACCAGACGTCAACTGTTGAAGCTTTCCACAGCGTCATACTGCGGTTTGCACCCAAAAATGCACTGTAAACGATTTCTTGTTAAATTAACAGTAAGTTACTGGCAACAATTATCCAGTAGCTGCTGTATTTCATAAAACAGTAACATTACTGTAATACTAATTACATTAGTATTAAATTTACTGTAAAATGTAATACATCATTTTACTGTTGTTAATTTTTACTGTAACACTAATTACAGTAGTGGTGCACATACTGCAAAACTGAAAACAGTATTTTATTGTACATTTTTACCATGAAGAACTACGGTATTTTAATGTTACTTTCATTATTACTGTATAGTATTTTACAGTTATTAAATGTTATTTTATTTTATTTAATAGTGCTACTTTATAATGGGTAAAAAATGTTCAAAGACGTACAAGAAAAATAAAGAAACTGAAACTTTAACTTCACAATAAAGGTTTATTGTGTAAACCATGCTAAAACAGTAGCAATAATTCAATATAACAGAGCAACAGAACACTAATAAACAATTGATCATTAAAAC